AATCTAGCATATAAGTATAGGTGTGTACTGTAAGGGTTCCGGAATCATCAAATTGATACGAAATTTGGCCCAGTCTTCATGGTCTTGGTAAAGTTACAAGCACTGTACACATAAAGATGTATATGGGACTACACGAACATGTGGCATAAAAATCCATCCCGATTTTTATAATGTTACATTTGTCTGGATCTATTTAGAATATTAAGGCATTTGATTTTGAAGATCCATTCTTTTCAGGGAACATTTTTGTTATCTGATGTTCTTCCACACTTGCATAATACAATGATCAACGCTCACAAATTATTGTTCCCTTCTTCCCAGAACTCAACCTTCTCTTTAAATTGCAATTTCGAACATCAACTTAGCAGTCATTCAATAAAGATGGCTTCGTTTCAATTTGTTTCATTGCCGAGTCAATTGACTAAAACCTACGGTGTGGATTTTGTGTGAGTGTAAGTGTAATTGGCAGAAATTAATTGGATTCTGTTTAGTAGGCACCCAAGGTTCTACTCGGAAGAGGCGTACTCAGAAATAGATAAACAGGAAAGGGGGTGGAGCGCATTGGTACAGCCCCGCGTGTCGTAAGGCCCCTTGCAAGAGGTAGCTTTGTTTCCCGAATTAAAACAAGAAAAATCAAAGTTATTTTCCCCGCGGATATATTAATGAATTCTACTGCAGATTCCCTCAGTGTGTACAATGTTCATTGATGGGAGGGGAGGTGTGGGGAGGAGAGGGATGATAAGCAAAAACATATTTTCCAGGGAATTGTCCCGTTAGAATACCTTTGGCCCGCCCGAGTCTCAAAAAGAAGGGCTGTCTGTATTTTACCCCGTCCCCCAAGAAAGAAGCTTTACAAAATTTGTTCACATTAAGGGGGTGGCTTGACCATTTCACCCCCACCTTGGATTCACCTTTACCACAGGAGTCAGACGTAAAAACAAATGCTTTTAAAATGAAAAGGACCAAGGCCTTGTTTCGTTACAAAAGTCATCAACTATTACCTCTATTAAATTCGGTCTTTACGACATACAACTTTCATCAATGTGGGACATACATGTGCTTCATTCAAGTTACGGGCGTCGCCAGATCATTTAGGAGAAGGGGGGGGGGTTCAGACCGGGATGGTTGGAGTTCGACGGAGTTTTCCCACAAGTAAAAGAAGGGGAAGTTCTCATTTGTTCTAATTGAGCAACTGAGGCTCATACAAATAAACAGGAGGCAGGGGCAGATCCAGGGGGAGTCGGGGCGCACGCCTCCCCCTTTTACTTTAAAAAAAAAATCACATTCCGAAAAAAATATATCAAAAATGCTTACAAACCTGTATGTCATACATCTATCCCATGACTTTTACAAGCCAATCGCCTGTCTGATTATCAAGATATCTATGATTAGAACAAGAAAATTCAGAAATCGTTTTCGGTATTTATAATCAGTATGAAAAATCAGTATGGTCAAACCGTTCGCTCAAAGATTTTTACTATTTTGATGCACTTCATGATCATTTTGAAGCGCATTTTGTTTAGGGCTTCAATATTACACCAGACACTGATAACACGTACATGTAGAGCCATGCATCTCAGCTTAAACATTGTTAAACGATGACTTTAGGGAAGTCAAGTTGACTTATGTACTTAATCCCATCTTTTTCTTACGGAAAAGGCCCCTCGGTTATTAAAGAGCTAATAAATGTGTTTATCGTCAAGGTGAGCACAATGATACGAGAATCCGAACGGGGAGATGGTACACATATTGTGCATGACGATACTGTTTTTTGCACACACAAAAAAAAAGCTTAATACACATTTAGGCCTGCATTGTACACGTCCATTTTTATGATAATCGTGAATATCAATGAAGCACATATCCAGATATAAACCTTTCGTGAACCTCTGCCCTTTCGAATGTTTCAACTATACTTACTGTAACTTTATTTTCCATAATTGTAAAGCAAAGCTGAAATTGGGCAATTAACAAACAAATTCACAGTTCTTTTATATACGGGACACAATAACAAGGAAATCTTAATCATCAAACAACAGATGTGTAACGTAGACGACATTGATCATGATTATATTCTTGGCAATGCATCGCAGAAGACCAATTAATGTGTACCTTGGAAGGCGCTATCTTGGCGGTGTTGTTCGGTGTTCGGTTACTCAATATGACGACGCATGTTTAGAAAACGGCCGGGGGGGGGGCGGGGGAGAGAAGGAAAACTGAAGATACTTCTTATCATATTAAAAGTATGACTAAATTCTCGAGTCTAATTGTATTCTTGCTACTTTGATTTGACGGTATTTCCCCCAAAAAAATATTTAACCAATCATTTTTTTTGTTACTTTGACCGTGTTTACTCGTACTCGAAATCCGCTCTGCATACATACTCACAGTTTTCTAGTCAATCAATATAAAAACAAAACGTGAGCTACTATTAAGTATCGAAAAAATATTTTGAAGCAATATAATACCTAATATGCATTTATGTCCTGACAGTTAAATTCAATCGAATGGTTACAATACCTCAATCCTAATTATAACCCTAAACATAATCATGAAATAAATTAGATAATGCCCAGAGTTCAACGCACTTAACCGCAAACTTGATTAGCAAAAGAGGATGTTGCCCAAGGGCTCCCTCTTTGGATCATAAACTACCCATAGATGTCATAGGCGATGGTTTAAAGGTACTATGTCCCATTTGCAGGCCAAAAAAATGAAAAGATTAAATTCCAACTGCATTTGAAAGATAATACTAATTTAGAACTTCCCTAAAAAAAGGGGGCTTGAAAATGTCTTTAAGTGGGAAAATAATGACTATTAGTTGTCGAATCGACATAATTATAGAGCTATAGAGCCAATAAGTAATAATCTTGATTTTCTGACCATTGTACCGAATGGTCGTACGTTTTATGCTGAGCAAAGATTCAATCAGTTTAATTTTGGCCATTACAAGAAATGGATATATTGATGTAGACAAATGCTCGTGTACCCTTTACAGCTCATTTTATGTACATGTATGTTATTACCAAAGAAGAAGAAAAAAGCCAGTCAGTCACTCAATAGTGTCTGTCAGTGAAGTCTACCAAGTAAAAACGGGTTTCCTTGCATAATTTGAATATTTTGACACTGCTACCGTTTAAATTTCACAGATAGGACATACATGACATATTCATAACTCCTGCAAAGTTCTACAGGAATTGAGGTTGGCTGCAAAAGGGACATAGTACCTTTAAATGATGGATTATAAAGACATAAAGACGCACGGCACTTATGAGAGCAAAAGCTGAACATTTTAAAAAGAGAAAAATTGTAACAATTTATGCAAGTTTGTACTTTGTGAATGATCATCTAGCTATAACTGCTGTGTAAGTTTTGGATGATCCAACCACTTCTTATTCAGTTTTTATTGTCTTCACCATTACTTGTAAGAAATCGTTTATTGTATTATTTTACTTTGATGTTTGTATGAAAGCGGTGAGTATATCAAATGCAATGCATTTCAAACCATGACCGTTTCTTCATCCCATGGAAATTATCTCTATAGGCCTATTATATTGTGATCTTTGGATATCAATAGATCCAACCCCAAGCGTTTTTGATATAGCGCCTTTTCCCCCTGCAGTTACAAGCGCTGCATACATTGCTCCACATATTTGTGCCACTTAAACAATAACATATCACTTTTTAAAAAAGACCATGTGAGTCAATACAAGTTATTTTTCATAGATAACAGCACAATAGGTAATCATCCATTAAATTATTATATTTTTTGCCGATAAAACAGGACTCTCTTCACCCCGTCTCATATCATCATTCTGAATTGATAGAGCAACAAAAAGGCGGGCAAGAGATGGCGCTATAACTCATCAAACTCATCGAAATCCAAGTTGGTTTGCGTTCGTTGATCAAACTGCAATAGGACCATATCAAAACATGGGCAAGAGATGGCGCTGTAACTATATCAAACTGCGATAGGACCATATCTCTTTGGATGGGGCAGAGTCGTTACTACTCCAGCAACAAAACGGTAATTTCTAGGATTTTTTAATAGATATCCCATCAACTGCCTTAGAGTAAAGCCTTTTGAAATGGTATTGGTACATTCAATGATATATTACGAATGAAAAAAGGGTGTTTTGGACCACTATCTTCAGTAAAATTCTCACCTTCAGAGTTGACTTGACCGTCATCATTGACGTAGGCTTCCCTTATCATTTTATCGACATCGTCATCAGTCAGATCCTCACCAAGGCTTGTCATCACGTGATGTCATTCACCAACACTTTAGGAATGGATGCAAACAAGAAAAAGGAGCACCTACAACTTGACGCTCTACTCTCTCTCTCTCTCTCTCTCCCTCTGTTATACTTGTTAAACCCGTCCCCTCCCCCTTCATCAAACATTTTGGTTTAGTTATCTCATGTTTTAGATAAGCAAACTGTTGTGTTTTTCTGTCATTACTGTGGAATTTCCATTTATATTGTCAGCCTAGACAATAATTTACCTTTGTTCTTATAAATCTCTTTCGATCTTCTTTTTCTACTTTGGAAAGTTAACAAGGATCTTTGTTCTTTCAATTCTACCACTTTTCCAAATACTCGGTTCAATAACTTTTCCTAAGGTACTCGTGGACTTCCTCTTTATCAATTATTGTTCTGAAATTAATATTGTTCTTGAACAGTTTCGACAGCCATTTGAAACCAGTGTCAGAAGCCCATTATAGGATGGAGTCTGTGCATGTGCTCCTCCATTAGAGCCCCCTCTCCCCTATCAATTCTTGGAATCGCCGCTGTGATACTACGTTGTATGAAATTGGAAAGAAATAAAAATGACAATCATGGCTATACTTTATGTCCATCTTCATGATCTTAGAAAAAGTTTTGTGTCAAGATAATTTCAGTAATCAAATAATAATTATCATGAAAGCAATAACAGTAACATTTATATAGCTCTTTATACTAATGTTTCTATAGGCAATTTACTATATTATTGAGCAGCTTTATACCTGGTCCTAATCTTGGTTGTCACTTATCGTCACCGCCCAGGTTATCACCCTAGTCATCACCCTCGTTGTCAGTTTAGTGGGGTTTTATTATACCGTTAGTCACAGCAGTTCGTCGTTTTCTTTTCCTTGCTGTAACAACATTTTTAAAAGAATTAAAAAAAAACATTCCTGTACATGGAAAATGCCAAAAATTATCTTGGGAGGTATGTATGTTACACTGTTATTGGTTGAATCAATCTCTTTTTAAATGGAGCAAGTTGTCACTAACAAGTGCCACAGATACAAACACCAAAATCGGCGAACAAATATTGTTATGAATGCAGTTTTCTACATGAAATGACTTGCAACAACAGAAGAGATCATTTAAATGTCAGTTTGTACTATCCTGAAAACAATTATGTAGTATGATTTCAAACATTACCCGATTCCTACCTGGTTATAATCCTGGTCGTCATCAGCTTGGTAGTCGCCCTGGTAGTGACTCTGGTAGTCGCTAAGTTCGTCGTCGTCATGTTTCCCGCGCTGCTATATGAATGAATATATATTTTAAATTACTGTAATCTGCCAGTAATACTCAGCTCGATTACAGAAACCGCTATTCCATACCTCCTTGATGAAACGCCAATTGTAAGAATGTAAATTGTAAATCGCAATGAAAGAGCATGCCGTCATGACCTTTAACTTATTTTTATGTGGTAAATTGATTTAATTTATCATTATTGTTTACCTGTTCTTTTTCAGGGTCGTCACAATAGTCATTATCCTGGTCGTCACCACCCTGCTCGTCTTCTTTGTCGATATCAACATAGAAGGGCGACATCGTCCTTGTGTTTGCTGGTCGTCACCCTGGTAGTTATCCTCAAAGTCATCCTCTTCACCGCGCTACAACATAAATGAATAGATAATTTATATTCTTCTTTAATTAACCGGCAAGGCCAGAAATTGTCAGTTACGAGTTACGAGTTACGACACAAGGTTCTGGTAGAAGGGGGCAGACTAGGTGTTTCATCGTCTGTTTCTATTTCTACGACTAAAAGGGAATGGATATATATAACATCATGGCTACAATCAATGTTCCTCTTAAAGATATTTGATATAGTTAAATGATAAAACGGTTCCTATATTTAAACTACTGTGTACCTGGTCGTCACCTTCCGTCATCCTGGTCATTATCCTCGTTGCCATCAACCTGACAGATGCCCTACCCGCCGTCACTCTAGTAGTCATCCTTCTCGTCACCCTACTCACCGTCACCCTGGTCTTCAACCTTCTCGCCGTAACCCTGCTCGTCATCCTACCCGCCGTCACCCTGGTAGTCACCCAACCCGCCGTCACCCCGAAAGTCACCATACTCGCAGTCACCCTGGTAGTCATCCTTTTCGTCGTCACCCTGGTAGTCACCCTACTCGCCGTCATCCTGGTTGTCATCCTTCTCGCCGTCACCCTGGTAGTCATCCTCTTCGCCGTCACCCTGGTCGTCACCCTGCTCGCCGTCACCCTGGTAGTCATCCTTCTCGCTGTCACCCTGTTAGTCGCCCTGCTCGCCGTTACCCTGGTAATTGCCCTCCTCACCGTCACCCTGGTAGTCGTTTTCATTTTCGTCGCCCTGGAACCTCTTTTTCCATTTCTGCATTGTAAAAGAGTAGAAAATGTTATATTCCTGTATAATTGACGGGCAAGACAAGGACAACAACAACAACAACATTAAATGACTTGAAGATGGTATCATACCTGCACTTCATGCCAATCTTCGAACTGTATATAACCTGGTCATCATCCTATTCGCCCCTTTGGTCGTTTTCCTACCTGCCATCACCTGAGTAGTCGACATGATTGTAGCACTCGTTGTTTGCACCTTGGATGTTGCTCTGGTTTTCATCATGGTAGTCACCATCGTCATCTTCGTTGTGCTGCAATACAGATTAGTAGACTATATACTCTAGTATAAATAACAGGCAACACCAGATATGCGGAAAGAGGATGACATGATGAGTTATTTGGTCAGATACAAGGGAAGGGGTGAATGGAAAGGCATACCATCATGGCTGCACTGATGCCTTTCTTCAAGTCAAATATGTGTTAAATTAATTTCAAAAATTCAAGTGAATTGTGCCTGGTCGTCATCGTAGTTACAGTATCATCCTGGTCGTCATGTCCCCGATAGTCATACGTGATCGCCATTTCGTAACAATTTAGATACATTGCCCAGTTTTTAAATTCATTCACTTATATTACTTCTCCTCTTGTAACCATTTAGTGTTGTATATATGCTCTTTCAGATAACATATGCATTTATGTTTTTTATAATAATACAAAATACAATTCTCACGTGTGTTGTTGCAGTAGAATATCTGTTTTAAGATCATCTTCATCACGTTATCACTGACAGGGGCCTGGTTGTCATCTTTCTCGCCGTCACCCGGGTAGTCACCCTGTTCTCCGTCACCCTGGTTGTCATCTTTCTCGCCGTCACGGTGGTAGTCACCCTGCTCGCCGTCACCCTTGTAGTCACCCTGCTTGTCGTCACCATGATAGTCGCCCTACTCGCCGTCACCCTGGTAGGCATCCTTCTCACTGGCACCCTGGTAGTCATCCTTCTCGTCGTCACCCTGCTAGTCACCCTGCTCGCCATCACCCTAGTAGTCTCCCAGCTCGCCGTCACCATGATAGTCGCCCTACTCGCCGTCACCCTGGTAGTCATGCTTCTTACTGACACCCTGGTAGTCATCCTTCTCGCCGTCACCCTGCTAGTAACCCTGCTCGCCGTAACCATGGTAGTCATCCTTCTCGCCGTCATCCGGGTATTCACCCTGCTCGCCGTAACCATGGTAGTCATCCTTCTCGCCGTCACCTTGGTAGTCACCCTACCCGCCGTCACCCTGGTTGTCATCCCTCTCGCCGTCACCCTGGAAGTCATCCTTCTCGCCGTCACCCTTGTAGTCACCCTGCTCACCGTCACCCTGGTAGTATTCCTTCTCGCCGTCACCCTGGTAGGCATCCTTCTCGCCGTCACCCTGGTAGTAATCCTTCTCGCCGTCACCTTGGAACCTCTTTTTCCATTTCTGCATTGTAAAAGAGTAGAAAATGTTATATTCTTGTATAATTGACGGGCAAGACAAGGAAATTTCCGGATGTCGTCAACAACAACAATAAATGACTTGAAGATGGTATCATACCTGCACTTCATGCCAATCTTCGAACTGTATATAACCTGGTCATCATCCTATTCGTCCCTTTGTTCGTTTTCCTACTTGCCATCCTTGAGTAGTCGACATGATTGTAGCACTCGTTGTTTGCACCTTGGATGTTGCTCTGGTCTTCATCATGGTAGTCACCATCGTCATCTTTTTTTTGTGCTGCAACACAAATGAGTAGACTCTATACAGTGCGTCCCAGAAAAAAACGAAACCGAGAAGTATCGATGTTTTATCATAACTTAATCACAACCATAATTAATGAATGATACATATTTGGAAAGCTTAGAGTCTCCTCTGTCAGTTGATGCTACTCAGATGATGCATATTTCACGCATGAGTGATTAAAAGCGATTTGAAGGAAGGAAACCAAAAAGACATTTGGCAGGCGGTATCTGAATTTCGAAGAAAAATTCACATTTCTAGAAAGTTAAGTTTCTGCCCTTTCATATGACACCTCAATCAGGAAAAATGAGAGAGGAATAACAAAGTTCTGTTTGTTTAAAGTAGCCCTTACATTTTCATAATTTTAACAAACGAATTCGTTTTCACTGGGTGCCTGCCGTAGCAAAAAGCATATTTGACAAAAGACTTAACTCCGTTTCGTTGACAATCAGCCATGCATGAAGACTCTCGTCTACGGCTGATTTTCAACGAAACGGAGTTAAGTCTTTTGTTAATTTCGTTCTTTGATACGGCGGGCAGCCAGTGAAAACGAATTCGTTCAATAAAATTATGGAAATGCAAGCACTACTTTAAACAAATAGAACTTTGTCATTCCTCGCTCATTTTTCCTGATTGAGGTGTTATATGAAAGGGCAGAAACTCAACTTTTTAGAAATGTGAATTTTTCTTCGAAATTCAGATACCGCCCGCCAAATGTCTTTTTGGTTTACTTCCTTCAAATTGCTTTTAATCACTCATGCGTGAAATATGTATCATTCATTAATTATAGTTGTGATTATGTTATGATAGAACATCGATACTTCTCGGTTTCGTTTTTTCTGGGACGCACTGTATAGTATTAATGAAGGCAAGACCAGATACAGAAAGAGGATGACATGATGCTTATCTTGGATAGAGTTATTTGGTTTGATACAGGGGAGGGGTGAATAGAAAGGCACGCCATCAAGGCTGCATATATGACATTCTTCAAGTCAAATATGTGGTTCATTCATTTCAATAATTCAAGTTAATTGTGCCTGGTCGCCATCCCCTGATAGTCATACCTGATCGCCATTTCGTAACAATTTAGATACATTGCCACGTTTTAAATTTCCCTCGCTCGTATTTCTTCTCCTCTTGTAAGTATATATATTTTCTTTTCATATAACCTATGCATTCATGTCAAAGTATAATAATGCAAAATACAATTATCACGTGAGTTGTTGCAGTACAGTATCCGTTTATAAAAAGTCTTCATCACGAGAAATATACTCGTTTTCATTCCGCTTTGATTTAACAGATACTAAACTATATCCTAGATTTCAAACATTTGGATATTCCATCTTAAATCTTCTTTTGTTCTACTAACAATAATCTTATTCTATTTTCACGAGTGTGGAAATTACCTAACTAAAATAAACTTTAATACTGAAAATTATGTACTAGGTTTATGTCGTTATCTAACATGAAAAAACTTGCAGAAAGACGAAGCCTATTCCACTGCTACTCTTATGTCACCCTTGTTGTCACCGTAGTCGTTACCGTGGTCGTCATTGTGTGGCATAGTGGAATCAGTGATCGTCGTTCACTCTCCTTTCTTTTACCTGAACAATGATGAGAACTCTTGCCAGAATTGCAACACATATGAAATATATATTTTTCTTCACAATAATTCGAGTGAATTGTTTTCTTCTTTTTGTTTAAATTCATGCTTTAAAAATATGTCTTTGCATTTCATAATCGAAATAAATTCTTCTCCGTTTTATTACCCACTTATTAACGATTCTTCTTCTCGTGTACGTCTTAAATGTTGTGCATCCCCCTTCATAGTATGTATTAATTTCAGTCGAGTGGTAATTATGATACTTATAATTGTCACGTGCTTTATAACAGTACATCACCCGTTTCAGTATAAACTTGTTTTGTCATGATAAATATACTCTTGTTCATTCTGCCTTGATTTAAAAGATGATACAAATTATAAGTTAACTTTTGAAAACATACCTGATAATACTTACCTACACATGGGGTGAATACTGACCGTAGCTACGTAGTTGACTCATTTCTAGTACTAAAAATTGTACAACACTAAGATATATAATTGTAAAAAGAATAAGATTAAGAACATTTTAACAGTATTGTTGCATTAGCACTGACAGAAAATATACAATCAAATTGTTTATAGGAAGTGAGTTGGCATAATTAAACATGGAAACATTTATGTATTTAATAAACCGAGTTTAAAACTTTGAATATGTTCTTGTTTCATAGTTGCTAAGGGAGTGCATATCAGATTACAGTTTCAGATCTTGATAATGATCGACTTCCTCATTGGTGCCTTTAATATTTCATTCCCTCTTTTAGCCATTTAATGTTATGTATCTTCCTTCTATTACGAACGAATTATCTTAGTCAAATCGAAATTATGCAAAATACAATTGCCGCGTATGATTAATGTAGCCGTAGGTCTGCCTCTCGACACGAGGACTATACTGGTGGTCATCCTTCTTTGATTTAATAGCTGATCAAACCATTAGCAAACTTTTGAATACATATCTGATAATACTTACCTACATAGATAAATTACACTTATATTTTCCGAGAAGGGTTGCATCAGGTCTTACTCACAGAAAAAGAAAAACAAAATACAAAGTAGATACAAGGGAGATGGCATAACTAAACTGAGTCTTAATCATTGAACTTGTTCCGGAGTTGATGAGGGTGTATATATATCAGAGTGGTGGGCCAGATCACATGATCGACTTCCTCCTTGGTGCCGCGAATGTGGGATGTGAAGAAGGTGAACGCACTCGATGGACGATAGCTGAACTTGCCCAGGAATAGGTGCTAAAGAAAACTAGTACAGTGCACGAAGTATGTGATAGATGTCTGCTCTGCCGTCAATGAGTATTACGACATATATCTCTAGAAAGATCTTCTATTTAGTCTCTTCTTCTTTGTCGTATTTTATCATATTTTCATGAATAGACCTAGTTTAATTACTATGCTTCATTGTCTTATTTCTCATCACATCGGTATGTAGTATAGGATACGACTTAAATATTTGAATGTGGGGATATTACCAATACGTAATTAATGCCTTGCTAATTTATATTTCTATGCATTTAATCTCTAAAAGACCATTCATTTTAATACAGTATTATGTAGGA